CATCCTAAAACACTTAAAAACGAAGGAAATTTTCCTTCCACATTTTTCGACCTAAAGCCCGCTTTTTAGCTTTTGTGTAAAATAGATCTTTATGACCAAATTTTCTCATTCTTGGAACCCTAAAGTCAATTTTGTAGAGTTATTTTCTTCTGCCTAAACATTCTCAATCCATCCAACGTGATTTTTAGGGTCAAGAAATTGTCTCTACTAAATAATCTTCCGGTAAGATCATGTTCTACCCGTTAAATCCGTTTGGCTAAAGGGTCAAATATGCATTTGAACTGACTTAAATTAGCCTCTTATATAGGAGGTTCTACCCGGTCATCGTCAATTGGGGCAGTTCTCGGTGGAATTTTTTGATGAAATTTTTTGACCATCTTCTTCATCAAGTCTAGTTTATTCATACCAAATTACAGCTAAAAATTCAATCGGGAAGGCAGTCAAATGATTTTTTGAAGATAACTGCGAAGTTAAACAGCGCAGTACATTTCGGAAAATCATTTGACTGCCTTTCCGGTTGAATTTTTAGCTGAAATTTGGTATGGGTAAACTAGACTTAATGAAGAAGATGCTCAAACAATGTCATCAAAAAATTCCACCGGGAACCGCCCCAATTAGCGAAGGCCGTGCAGAACCTTCTAGGGCTAATTGAACACTTTAAGTCAAGGGCATATTTGACCCTTTAGCCAATCCGTTTTAATCGGTTTCAGTCAAATAAAATATTTATTTTAGGATCTTATTCGATATTGGGGGTGTTTGTATTTTGGCGAATCGGAAGCAATCCGTTGCAAAAAGCAGCAGTTGCTGTTGTAAAAAATCGGCGGTTTGGGATAAACCGCTATTACCCAAACGCCCCCATTAAGTCCGCAATGGTGATTTGTGAGTACTTAAGCTACGGATTTCGTGTAAAATTCATGGCTAGCATTGAGATAAGTTCTTATGTCAACCAAAATTACTATTTTAACCCAAATATGATTTATTTATGGCTTTTGCTATGTTTGGGTATTTATTTGAGATTTTTCCTAAAATATTACTAATAAAAAAGTTATGGACAAAAATGTAACTCAGTAACTATTAGTGATTATAATTGTGTTCAAAGTTTACATCATAGTCACTACATCATGGTAATTTTGAACACAACTATAGTCAATAAAAGCTACCAATTCACATTTTGTCCATCACTTTTCTACAAGTAATATTAATAGAATTTTTTCTATTGATTATAAAATTTGAAGGAGAGTTTGGACACATATAATTTATGATATCGGCTTATTGATTTCTGGAATGGGAGAATAATATGATTTTTTGGTAAAAGAATTACTTTAATATACTATGTAAATCAAAACTATATTTTTGGCTCAAATATGAATGATTTAGGATTTGTGGTGTGATTTGAAATTTATCGTGAAGTCTTATACATATTTCCAATAAATGAGATTTGTAATATGTATTATAAATTTGTGGAATTTGAGAATGATGTGAGTTTTTGAATGAATTATTTATTTTAAGCTCTTGTGTCAATTAAAACTATATCTTTACCCCAAACATGATTTAAATTAATTAGGTTTGTGATATGATTTGAGATTAATTATAAAATTTTATTCATATTTCGGCTATATGAGAGTTATGATAATAAATAATGAATTTAAGAATTTGTGATTGACAAAGTTTTTTTCGTAAATTAAATATTACAAGTACTGATGTTAATTAAAATTACTATTTTTGCGCCAATTATGATTTAATTGGGATTTTTTTATATGATTGGGTATTTTCTATTAAATTTGAAAAATATTTTAGATAGGTATAAATTGTGATATGGGTATATGAGTTTTCGGAAATTGAGAACAATATGAATTTTTGGATAAATTAATTATTTTAATTTACTATAGCTGAAAATAGGAATTTTATGGAATTGTTATTGTTGGTTGCAAAATTGTGGAACTTGTTATGGTAGGAATATCTTTTTAAATACATATTTTTGTATGGATATATAAGCATATATTCTGGATTTGGAAATATTTCATTGGATTGTTTTGAATATAGTATTAGATACTATTTTGGAACCATAGTTTGGTATTAAACCTGTTTTTGGAAGTTGTGATTCAAATTTGATATGTTATCCATATAATTTTGGATATATGTTTTTTTTTTGTATGTATGTATATAGAAGAGATATTTTGGAAAGTATTTTGAAGTCAAATGAATTTGAAAAATCTATGAACCATATGTTCATATATAATTACATTTGAGTAATTTATGAATTACATGCTCATAATGACATTTGAGTAGTCTATGAACTACATGTTCAATAACCTATGAAGTACGTGTTCATAATGAAATTTGAGAATCATGAACAATATGTTCATAATGATATTTTGATTAATCTATGAACCACAAATTTATAATTACCTTTTGAGTTATCCATGAATAATAAGTTCATAATGATATGCTCTGGTAAGCATATCGGATGTTCTTAATTTTAATTTAGCTATAAAATTTTTATTGGAAAGTTGTATTCTTGTAAAGTAGTATTTTTGGAAACTTATATTCTTGAAAAATTATATTCATGGAAAAGCTATTCTTGAAATGTAGGCATTTGTTTTTGGCTTTTTGCCCTAGCTTGTTTAGCGCCCAAAAGATGGAGGGGAAAAGAATACGATATAGGGGAGAAGGGAAATGAATTAAAATGGAAAACCACATTATAGATTATGTTCAGTATAAAGGAAGTTTTGTAATATCAAAAGATTAATGTTAAGTCAAAACGATAGTCTGGAGTAATATATCAAGATTAGACCAGAATAAAGGCACCATCAACTGAGAACCAACAACTCTACACTAAGGTAGTATGATTCATAGCATTTTTGACAAGACACTTAGGTATCTAATTTGAAATTTGAATAGTATCTTCTCACAAATTTGCAATTTCCTATAGTTTCAGGACTACATATATTATCGAAATTTAGAAAGATATTGCTCTGATTGGTAAGAGTTCTAACGGAAGACTGGTTTCGCCAACTTAAGCGACCAAACATAATGCATTTTCCCTTCAATTGAATCCATTCCTGAACAGGCATAATAGTCGTTTATAAAACAAGATATATTGTACGGAGTATATAGTAACAGCAGATCGGATTAATAAATTGCTACTACGTATGATTTAAGGAAAATGAGAATGCTCATTTATGCATTTTTTTAAGGGAAAAGGGACAAAAAAAAAACTAGAGTTATCACTAAAGGGTATTCAAGCCCATGAACTTATTTTTGGAGCATAAATCCCTCTATTCCATTAAAAGAGAGCAAATGCCCCCTTCTCTAACGGAAATAGATAACGGCTTCTGCCATGTGAGAATTTGAGATGCCAAATACACCTTAACTGGTCACCCAAGCACATCCAAGTTTATACTACGTATTTCTCTTCTTTTTTTTTTGTGAAAAAAATGTCATAAATAAACATGGGGCAACTTAACTAACTAAATGTCTAACTACTGAGTTGGATGTTTTTTACTGGATTGAATTTTTTTGGTCTGGTGTAATTTGGTCTGATCGGTTTTAGCCTGATCTAATATGTTATAGAAATTTTTACTTGAATTTATTTCGGTCCCAAACCAGAAGAGATCCGACCTGATCCGACCTGATCAGACATAAACATACCAAACCTCGATGATTATAAAATACATAGAGACTAGACATCTGCCATATAAGAAAAGTTCAAACCAAATCATATCTAACTAGATCAAACCACAAAATTCCCCTTAATCTAGTCTAGTGTATAATGCTATTTTAATTTATACAATGTATTACTTATACTACAAATATTATAGCTTAAATCTAGTTCCAATGAACCTTTTAATGTAATTTCTGAATATGTATATTTTCATATTAACTTTTGTTTATAATCTATTTATAACTAATTTTAATAATTTATTGTTAAAAACACTAAATTTCCTTTCAAATTATTGTAAATTATATCTTCTCGATTTGTACAATATATCTTCTATAAGTAAAAGGGCCAAAACATTATTGTATGATATAGAAGATACAATAGTTTTCGTTCACTATTAATTATTTATAATATACCCACTAAAAATGTATGATAAGTCGAGAAGAATATTGTACAATAATTTGGAACGGATTTTATTATTTTTAATAATAAATGAATATAAACTAATTATATGTGTATTATATTATATAAATATTCCCTCTGTCACGTAGAAAGGTTCCCACGCGATTTACGATATTTAACTGGTCATAAAGTTAACCGATCCTTGTTCGTAATTAGATTTTTGTCAGTAAGTAAAATTTACATATTAAGAAACTACATTAAAGTTTTAGAAAGTCGCAAAAGAAAACTCAAATTTGATACAAATCGGATATATAAAGTAAAAGATTAAGAAGTTTTATGTTGGCAGTAGAATAGCGGGCGAGAACCTTTGAATGAGACGGAGATAGTAATATAAAATAACATTTCAGACAATAGCAGATTAAGATTTTTTTATTCAGACTGAAACTTTCTGGTTTGCTCTAGTCTAACATGGTCTGGTCTTATCCGATAGATGTTTGGTGTCTATGTATGTTATAATTATTGAGGTCTGATGTGGTCTATTTATGTCTGATCAAGTCTGATTTGTTCTGATCTGGGACTGAAATAAGCTCAAATAAAAACTTCTAAAATATTGGATCGCACTAAAATTGATCAGACCAAATTACACCAAATCAAAAAACTTGAATACAGTAAAAAACATTTTGAATCTATAGTTCGAAATTTAGTTCGTTAATTTTTCTCATGTTAATTTAAGATATTTGATCACAAAAAAATTATAAGCTTGGATCGGGTGTGTTGTAGACCTGTAGTGACAATTTGGAGTGTATTTGTCTTTATTTCAAACTCTCACATGGGCTGTACGCCTGTACGTTATCTACGTATATTCACCGTTAGAGAAGGGGGCATTTGCTCTCTTTTAATGGAATAGAGGGATTTATGCTCCAAAAATAAGTTCAAGGGCTTGAATACCCTTTAGTGACAACTTTAGGGGATTTTTTCCCCTTTTCTCTTTTTTTAAACAAACAGCTACCTACTTGATTAAAATCATACTCTTGGTACATTATTTCTTTGCAGGATATCTTTCTTGGTTCCCTCATTCAGTTTGAAACATTCAACCACAGAAATTTTGCTTTGATACGCCAATTTCTTGGAGTACTGGTGTCTGCAAGTCAAGATGTCATCCATGCCAATTGAAAGTGCCTTCCGATTGCCTAATTCTTTACCTGCATGGCCAACAGGCGATGGTTTCGGGAAAGGGATAATTGATCTTGGAGGGTTGTTAGTGTCAGAAGTATCAACCTTTAGTAAAGTCTTTGAGACCAAAGAAGGTGGACCTTCGGGCAATGGCGCCACATTTTTTGAGCCATCCATCATTCCAGATGGTTTTTCCTTGCTTGGATACTATGCACAACCCAATAACATGCCCCTTTTTGGGTCAGTTCTAGTGGCAAAAGACACAAGCCCTGATGGTAGCTCTGCTGGAGCCCTGAAGGCGCCACTTGACTACACCCAACTATTGAACATTAAGAAGGACAACACAACCGCTTACTTCTGGTTGCCTGTGGCTCCTAGCGGGTATAAAGCGGTTGGTAATGTTATCACAATCGACTCTCAGAAGCCTGCGTTGGACAAAATCGGTTGTGTCCGTGATGATTTCACAGACATTGCTGAAAACGATGAATGGATTTGGGGCTCGAAAGGATTGAATGTGTACTCAACAAGACCGAAAGTTAGAGGAATCCAAGCCTTGGGCTTAAGCACAGGCACGTTTATGGCCCAACTGTCCAGTGGAGGTACAGAGTTGTCATCATCTGTACTATCTTGTTTGAAGAATGTCAACAAGCTCAACAAATCTGGAATGCCTAATCTAGACCAAATAAAAGAACTCATCAAGGTCTACTCCCCGTTCATTTACTTTGACTCCAAAGAGGAATACTTCCCTTCTTCCGTCACTTGGTTCTTCAAGAATGGTGCATTGCTCTACACCAGAGGAAAGGAATCTTCACCAGTTGCTGTCGAACCAACCGGTGCAAACCTACCCCAAGGCAGTTCCAACAACGATTCATACTGGCTCGACCTTCCAACCAGTGAAGCAGAAAAGGAAAGAGTGAAGAAAGGAAACCTCCAAGATTTCACTAGTTACATCCACGTGAAACCGATGTTTGGTTCAACGTATACTGATTTAGTTTTCTGGGTCTTTTACCCCTTCAATGGACCTGCTCGTGCCAAAGTCGAATTCGTCACAGTTAATCTCGGAACTCTAGGACAGCACATTGGAGATTGGGAACATGTGACACTCAGGATCAGCAACTTTACTGGTGAGCTAAAAAAGGTGTACTTCTCACAACACAATACAGGAACATGGATCAAAGGCTCTCAAGTTGAATTCCAGGATGGGAACAAGCCTATCACTTATTCATCGTTTAACGGGCACGCGGCTTATCCTAAAGCTGGAGATGTTTTACAAGGAACAAAGAACATAGGACTAAGGAACGATACAGACAAAGGGAAAATCTTTGTTGACACCGGAGCTAGTTTTTCTATAGTTTCGGCAGAGTACTTAGGTACTAATGATGTTGTGGAGCCAGCGTGGTTGAACTATACTGGAAAATGGGGCCCGAAAATAAAAAACAATGTGGGGACAGAGCTTAGCAAGGTGGAGAACGCTCTGCCCGGAAAACTAAAAGCTGCAATGGATAAAGTTGTCGGAATCCTTCCTGCTGAGGCTTTGGGTGAAGATGGACCAATTGGTCCCAAGAGGAAAGAAATTTGGACTGGAGATGAAAGGAGCTAAGCATACATAGTTCGTTTGTGGTTTTATTGTTGGCTTTGAACTATAATAAAACCTACAATAAATGCGTAGTACACATATGCAACTGAAACTTATAATTCAGACGATACATATCTATCGCATATATGTATGAATGTAATATATAATATAAATACAAAGTAAAAATTAAATAAATCCTTAATCCAACTACCATATTAAAATTTTATGTTGAAACATCATTTAATTAAGCAATTGAATACATTACATTACAATATAACAAATTAACAATGCATCAACTGTGCTGACCACAAGATGTTAAACTCTTCTCGTCGACGCAACTGAGAATAAGGTTGACAATCTCCTAGACAATTGAAGAACTCTAAAAGTCTACAGAATTCAAAGGAAGTAATGAACAGTTTTTTTCACTTTCACTTCTCCTGAGTATTATGGAAATGCCATTTTTGGTCTCTGTATTACATTTGTGGTCTCTCGAAATTTTTTCACATTTAGTCATCTTTCTATATTTCTGTATAGAGAGACTGATAGGCTTATAAGTGATAAGCCTATTAAATACTTCAATAAAGTCTATCATAGGAGGAATAAGGGAGGGGGTAGCCAGTAATTAGTTATGAGTCGGTTAACTAATAATAAATTCCCTGCGTGGAATATTACTATAAATAGAAGTCTGTTAGCCTAGTAGGGCAGGTTGTTGCTCTGAATAGTTGGCTGTCAGGAGTTTGGGCTTCTCGAATAGTTCTTGAGCTTGTACGACCTATCTAGAGTTCTCTCTTTCAATAATAATCCCTTTGATATGTTCTTACATCACTCTGCAGATTTGATATAGTTTGTATAGCTTAATACCAGTGTTCTATCATTGGTATCAGAGCAGTGGTTTTGGCGATCGACAGCTGTTGAATCATCGCCAGTTTTCCCCAAATTTGTCGTTCGGATCGTGGATGGTTCGAACGAGAGGAAAAATGGAGCAGCGATTGGAAGCAGTGGAACGCAGTCGAACAACAATGGAGGAAACGCTGCTGAGGATGGAGACGATGATGCAGAACATGACAGGGAGGATCGATACGATGAGCGATGAATTCCGTCAGAGGGGAAGATCGCGATCTCATCACAGTCATCGTTCGCGACCTTCACCTAGCCCTGCCGTTTCCAGAGGTAATTCCGCTCACTCGAATCACACCTATCATAGGCGACGTGATGAGTATGCTAGATTTCCAGTGAATATGGCTCGAAAAGTTGATTTGCCACTGTTCAATGGGGATGGGGCTTATAACTAGCTTGTAAGGATGGAGAGATATTTTAGATTGAATCACATTACTGAGGATGATAAATTGGAAGTGTCTGTAGTAGCCATGGAAGACCGAGCTCTGAATTGGTTCCAATGGTGGGAACATCAGACCAAGGAGAAGAATTGGGAATCACTTAAGGAATCGGTTATTCGGAGATTCCAACCTGACCTCCTACAGAACCCGTACGGACCTATGTTGAGCTTAAAGCAAACTGGAACAGTCAGAGATTATAGGGATGAATTTGAATTGACCATAGCACCTCAAAGGACTGTGGATAGAGAGATATTGAGGGGAATCTTCATCACAGAATTGAAGGAAGAGGTTAAGGCTGAACTGAAATTATACAATCCTAGATCATTGACTGATGTTATGGATGTGGCTTTACAAATTGAAAGGAAGAATGAGGCTATACACTTGAAAAGACAGGATGTCATGATGGGGAAAAAGACAAGGGAAGTGTGCCTAGCAAATCTCAGAACTGGGGAGAGAGTTCAAAAGCAAGATATGGTAATGCTGGAATCAACACTCAAGGAAAAGGGGTCAATGATAACAGGAATTTCAACTCCTGGTTTGAGAGAATGGGGAAGAAGGTCACTGACATGCAATCTTCAGGGTTCAGGAAGGTGGGACCTCAATTGTCTCAAGAAGAATTTCAGGAGAGAAGCAGAAAAGGGCTGTGTTTTAAATGTGGGGGAAAATGGAATAAGGAGCACACATGCAAGCTGAAACACTTTAAACTAATGCTAGTAGAAGACTCAGATGTTGATGAAGACACAGACTGTGAGGAACATGAAGTCCCAGAAGAGGAAGTGGTGTTGGAATCCAAATCTATGCAGTTATCACTTATGAGTAGAGAAGGGATACCGACTATGAGAGCTTTCAAAATTAAAGGAGTGCTGAAGTGGAATCAGGGAGAAAGACAGGTGGAAGTATTGATTGATAGTGGAGCCACGCATAATTTTATTTCACAAAAATTGGTGGAGGAACTGGAGCTGCCTTTCAACACTATTACAGGGTATAAGGTGCAGATTGGCAATGGAGAAAAGATATCTAATAATAGAATATGTGAAGAGGTGGTACTGTGTTTGCCGGATACTGATATAAAACAGGATTTTTACATCTTAAATCTGGGAGGAACTGACTTAGTTCTGGGCATGGAGTGGCTTACCAGCCTGGGAGATGTTGAAATAAACTTTCAGAAGCAAACCATTAACTGGAAGAGTTCAGGGCTCAATCATTCAGTTCAGGGGGGCCCAAAATTAAGTTCAATGGAAGTTTCATTGAAGACTTTAACACAAATTATACAAGACAATGGAGATTGGTATCTGATATACTATGAAGGAAGTCTAATGCAGATGGAGAAAGGGAAGGATGTGGATTGCATATGGAAGGAGATCTTGGCTGAATTTCCAGAAATAACACAAACATTGGAAGGATTACCTCCATCTAGAAGCTGTGATCATTCCATTAACATTCAGGAGGGAGCCAACATACCCAACATTAGACCTTACAGGAGATGTTGAGCTCTAAAATCATTCAACCTAGTAACAGTCCCTACAGCAGCCCCATACTCTTGGCAAAGAAGAAAGATGGGGGGTGGAGGTTCTGTGGTGTGGTGATTACAGGGCATTGAATAGAATAACAATACCTGACAAATTTCCAATACCTATTATTGATGAGCTATTAGATGAGCTGGGTGGAGCCAGAATTTTTTCCAAGTTAGATTTGAAGTCTGGATACCATCAGATCCGAATGAAAGAAGAGGACAGGAAGAAAACTGCATTCAGAACACACGAAGGTCATTATGAATATCTTGTGATGCCATTTGGATTGACCAACGCTCCTTCTACGTTTCAAGCATTAATGAATCAGGTATTGAGGCCTTTTCTCAGAAAATCTGCTCTTGTGTTTTTCGATGACATATTAATCTACAGCAAATCTATTGAGGAACACCAAAAACATTTGAGAGATGTACTATCTGCTTTGGAGAAGAACCAGTTGAAGATCAATTTGAAGAAATGCTCATTCGGACAATCCCAGTTGGTCTATTTAGGCCATATAATTTCTGGGCAAGGGGTATCAGCTGACCCAGAAAAAATTGAAGCTATGCTACAATGGCCTGCACCTAAGGATTTAAAGGGGTTGAGAGGATTCCTTGGGCTAACAGGTTACTACAGAAAATTCGTAAAGGGATATAGTAAGATTGCCTTCCCTCTTACTAATCTTTTGAAGAAGGATAATTTCCACTGGGATCTGAAAGCAGAACAAGCCTTTGTAGAACTGAAAAAAATTATGACAACACTGCCTGTATTAGCAACACCTGATTTCAACAAGATGTTTGTTATTGAGACTGATGCTTCAGGTACTGGGTTGGGAGCAGTCTTGATGCAGGATGGGAGACCTGTATCATACATGAACAAGGAGTTATCAACAAGAAATCAGAATAAGTCCATCCATGAGAGGGAATTGATGGCAGTTGTCCTAGCAATTCAGAAGTGGAGACCCTATCTGCTGGGCAGACCCTTTGAAGTCCACACTGATCAGAAAAGCTTGAAGTTTATAACTGAACAAAGACTCATGGGCGAGGAACAACAAAGGTGGACCTCTAAATTACTGGGCTATAATTTTACCATAAAATATAAACCCGGGGTGGAGAACAAGGCTGCAGATGCTTTATCCAGAAAATATGCATTGCAGTCCCTATCAATTGTCAGTTGCCAAGAATGGGAGGGACTGGAGGGGGAATTGAATAAGGAACCTAAATGTCAAGAGATAATCCAGCAGGTGATTTCATACCCAGACAAAAAGAAGGAGTTTCAGATCATTAAAGGCTTACTCCACTACAAGAAAAGATTGGTATTACCAAAGGGGTCTGCCAGAGTTCAGAAAATTATGAAAGAATACCATGATTCAGCTGTGGGGGGGCATTCTGGATATTTTAGAACAATGAAGCGGGTGGAAGGATTATTTTACTGGCCTGGGATGAGGAATGATATAAAGAAATATGTGGAGGAGTGTGCTATCTGCCAGACTAATAAGTATCAAGCTCTTAAACCCACAGGTTTACTGCAGCCCCTACCTATTCCAACCAGTATTTGGACAGATATAAGCATGGATTTCATTGGGGGATTACCTAGATCCCAAGGAAAAGACACTATTTTAGTAGGGGTTGACAGATTTACAACATTTGCTCATTTCATAGCCTTATCTCACCCTTTCAATGCAAAGGAGGTGGCAGAAATCTTCATTAAGGAAGTAGTTAAGCTGCATGGATTCCCTAAAACCATTGTCAGTGATAGGGACAGTGTGTTTTTGAGCTCATTTTGGTCTGAAATTTTTAAACTGGCAGGAACTCAGCTTAAATATAGCACAGCTTACCACCCTCAAACAGATGGGCAGACCGAGGTGGTAAACAGGTGCTTAGAAACTTACTTAAGGTGCCTCACAGGAAGGAAGCCAAAGCAATGGAGTCAATGGCTTTACTGGGCTGAATATTGGTACAACACCAATTATCACATAGCACTAAAACAAACCCCTTACAAGGCTCTCTTTGGGCTGGATCCTCCTACAACAGTTAAGGGCGATGTAACACTAACTGCAGTAGAAGAGGTGTCCAACTGCTCAAAGGAATGCTATGCTAGAGGAGTTAAAGATGAACTTGGCTAGGGCCCAAAACTTAATGAAACAACAGGCTGACAAACACAGGAAGAATATACAGCTTGAGGTGGGAGATCAAGTGTATTTGAAAATTCAGCCATATAAACTTAAAAGCTTAGCCAAGAGGGTGAATCAAAAATTGAGTCCAAGATATTATGGGCCTTTTGAAATCATAGAAAAGATCAACAATTCAAACTGTAGTTACCAGAAGACAGCAAAATACATCCTGTGTTTCA